TAATAATAATAATAATAATAATAATAATAATAGTAATAATAACAACCTGCTTAAACATATATACAGTCCCACACAAACTGGTAGCGCAGGAAGTATTCCATGAACTATACACGCCATACTAATGTTTCAACTTAGCATACTGACCCACAAGAACTGATGACGAGTGGATATTCTGTGATCTATACACTGCATAAAAATGACCTATCGTAGCATAGTGTACCTAATACACTGATGACGGTGCGATTATTTTAAACATATACGCAACAAGTATGTTAATTTACGTTTTAATTCGAACCAAAGCGCCACAGCAGGCACTGGGTCGTGTTCTATAAGGGTCCCATACGACGTATACGACGTTTGTAAAATATATTGTTTGTTTACACGGAATTCAAACGCTCGGCGACGGTAACATTTAACCAGCAACGAGGCTTAGTATACTCGATGGAAATACTGTAATAAATTCTTGTTTGAAGAAACACTACGCATTCTCGCCACCTGGCAACTAACAAGAAATTGGCTATACATTCTTCAGAGGCAACACCGAGAGAAGCTTTAAAATTCCTGTACCTAATTCGATGTTATTTCTGCGGCTATAATAACACGTGCATATATAAATGTTAGAGCAAATGCCACAACTCGGGCGTATAACTGTCTACTACTGCAATAATTATAACGAGGTACACACAACGATGAAATTGTGTATTTGCATATTTCTATAAACAGAACAAGCTTTTTTTGTGTAAAACTATAATATCTATTTATATCAGTTATTATTCGTGTTTGTATGCACCATTCAGTAAGATTAATTCAGATGCAAGGTCAAGTGTCACTTTAACACTGTGATTTGAATGACAAGATAAAAACAAATACTTGTGTATTTAATAAAACCCCAACGTATTGTGGGACGGGTAAAAGATTGTACACTCGTAGCAGAGCAAACAAGCCACATCCTGTAATTGGGTAAACCAAACAAAAACAATGGTGTATAATTACACTGTGTACCCATGAACTTGATACACATTCAATGTCAAATTAAATAGGATGCAATGCTTTTGCACACAGAGCCAATGCGTCAATATAAAGTATACAGTCAGTGTACAAAAATGAATTGCCGGTCTCATAAAAACACTACAAGACATGAATATATAGTATCGTTTAGTGAAATACAATCTAAGATGACGGAGTATAATACGTGTTATCACGTCCATATTTCATTGCTTTACATGCTGTTTTAACATGCGAGGCTTGGTGTCATGTAAATTAATTAAAGAAAACACAACAACATAATCGTCGACAGCATCATCATCATCAACAATAATTTAAACCTATGAGCATTGTTCTATTATGGCTATTGTTCTATTAAAAGCTGGATTAACTGGTTAAAAAAACCCGATTACTATTTTAACAAACTTTGCTACCCTTAAACAGGAGTGTGTTTGGCGGCAGCCATGGTAATTTTGTATCGTGTTAGTTTACATAGTACTGCGATAAGTGTGCTGTGGTTTATCGCCGCCATCTGAGTCCTACTATCGGGCTGAAAACGTGGGAATCAGATACGGATAAGCTCAAGGGCAGATCAATAGCAGTGCCTGACGCATAGATGATTATATTCCCACTTAGGTACACGTGACTTGCATGAAATGAAATTAGGTTGTAAGGTGCAAGCAGGTGCTACCACAACTCAATCTGATATCGGCATATATGTTTATGTACAACATTCGGCGAAGGTAATCAAGTTACGTGCGCTTGGTGAATCTACTGATTGTATCTGTCTTAAGACTATCTTTTTTTCCCTTTTCCGTTGCAAATGAAACACATCCGTGTGAAATGGATTAGATTTACCCAGAAATATATGGATCGTAATGAGAAGGTGAATATGACGTCACATTATGACGTACATATACACCATGGCAAATATATTCTTTGCTTGCGTCTTCACATGAACAAGTGCACCGTTACAGCTCGGCACAGATCACAATTCTCTCATACATGTATTTACCAAATGCACATTGAAACCATTTATTTATTACTGTTGCGATTCAGTTTTAACAATGTGTCAATAGACCAGCAATGCGAAATCATTATACCAGGTTCGAAAGTGGAAGTTTATTCATTATGTAGTAATAGCGATCTGAGTTTAAAATGTTCATGCCTGCCGTAGCCCGTGATACTAACAATATCAGATTGTTTTTTTCGGGATGTTTCAGAATTATGCCATATGATAATTTAATTCAGTAAATTACAGCAAAATTATCGTTAAGCATTCAGTAATTTTTTCACAGGGAAATATGTATTGCCGTCAAGCTTGATTGTAAAAATATTTGTTTGGTTTGAATAATCAATATTTATCATTATGTAATATGAATTGAAAGTCGATACTAAATTTTAATGACTTTTATTTGCTTAAAAAATGGCT